TCCATGACCACACAGGGAGCTGTCTTAAGGCCAGAGACTGTCTCATTCATTCTTGCCCATAAGGGTGTTAAAAAGAGTTTTAAAATCGGATGTGTAGCTTAGTCAAATAACTATGGAGCATATGCAAACAATTCAATCCAGTATCTACTTTTGTGGGTTTTTTAAACTTTATTAAAAAAATTTTTTTTTTGATTATTTTTGAGAGAGCATGAGCAGGGGAGGAGCAGAGAGAGGGAGACACAGAATCTGACCCAGGCTCCAGGCTGAGCTGTCGGCACAGAGCCAAACACAGGGATTAACTCACAAACTGTGAGCCAAGGTTGCTTAACTGAACCACCCAGGTGCCCCTATTTATTTTTTTTAAGGAATCTCCACACCCAACGTGGGTCTTGAAGCTATGGCTCTGAGATTAAGTCACTGAGCCAGCCAGGAGCCCCTACCTTTGTGTTCTTAATTCTACGTCGCTTATCCCCCACTGCCCCCCTTTCCCCCCCGCAGCACTGGACTTTAGAAAGAGGGATATAACATATATATGTATATATGTTTGCATTTCTGGGTGCTCTAGTTCTTGAACATGGATCACATTATTTAACTCTCAGAATAATCCCTTAGAGCTGGAGATACTCCTCTCATGTTACAGGTTTGGGAAATCATGAACTTTGGTTGAATAGTTTGCCAAATAACATGTCCCCTGGGAAGAGGGGAAGGCAGGATGCACACCTGGGCAGTCCTTTCCCACATGCCCTGTCGCAACCTGACTCTGAAATTTCTCTCCTGATTCTTATGACGGCACGCTCTCCTGGCTTTCTCCTCCTCCTTTGTACTCTGCTCCTTCTTCTTCTTATGCGTACCTCTCTACCCTCTTTTTCTATACAGCTTCCTGGCTGACCAAACCAATGGCTTCAGACTCCACAGTAATGCCTCCCTATCTCCATCTCTAACTCAGCGCTCCCCAAGAGCACCACAGTTCAGGCCTGCCCAGCTACGAGTCTTTTTCTTCAGGCGTCCACATCTTGGGGAATGGCACCACTGTCCACCTGTTACCCATGTCAGCATTTTCTCTCTAGTCATCAAGTCATGTTAATTTTTCCTCGGTATGTCTTGGCTCTAACCTGTCTCCATCCCATTGCCTTAGGTTAGGCCCTTCTTTCTCTCTTACTTGAACTTTGTAAAAGTCACCTCTCAGCTAGTCTCCCTGATGCTTGCCTCCCACGTCTGTCTTCTTTAGCACCATCATTTAGTTATTCACTGCCCAGTGGGTAAACTCCAGACCCCTTTCCTTTCTTTCTAACTCAGTGTCTTCTATCTCCCAATCTGACCCGTTGTCAAGCACATAGAACTAATTGTGGAAGGAACTATCTGGGTTCTGTGTCTTTACAGCTCCAGCTACTTTTACCTGGAATGTTCTGTCTTCATCTGGCTCATTATCTGGCCTTCCTGGCCTGAGTTAGTCACCTTCCTGGCCTGAGTTAGCTCTGGCCATCCCTACTTCTGTCACCCCTCTTACCAGACTATATTTACAGCTGGTTATTATTATTAGCACACCTATTGTCACGAAACTATAAGCTCCTGGAGGGCCGGGGACTGCCTTTTGCTGCAGGCATTCAGGTAACACTTTTGAACATATGACATTGTTGCGGAGAGGCAGTGTTGCAGAGGCCGGGCACAGGCTCTGGAGCTTGAATGCCTGGGACTACAACCTCTTGGGCAAGTTGCTTATCCTTTCTGAGTCTCTGTTCCTCATCTATAAAATGGGAAGAATAGTATATCTTCCTTAAAGAGTCGCTGTGCTGATTAAGAAGGCACTAGAACAGGGACTGGCACAAAGTTGGGACTTGGTACTGCTAGCCACTTACATAACAGATTATTTAAGAATATTTAGGAATAGCTTAGAGTTATTTCAGAATATTTGATTAATAAATTAAAAACAGAGGGGTGCCTGGCTGGCTCAGTCAGTACAGCATGTGAATCAAAATCTCAGGGTCATGAGTTTAAGTCCCATGTTGAGCGTGGAGCCTACTTTAAAAAAAAAAAAAAAGTTGAATATCCATTATACTTAGCCTTTACAACAGCTGGTCTTCCAGTGTTGTATTAATAAAACAGAAGCCAAGCTTAAATCAAGGGGCAGTGATCAGAAGAGCTCGGTAATATTTTGTTGTCAGGGAAGGTTTGAAAGGACAGGAACCATGACAGACACAGGGGACCCAGTAGGAGTTTGGTCCTTTCTTCTCAAAAGCACCATTAATGTGACAAAGCTCCAAGGACTATGCCTCTGTTGCACATTGTTGGGAGAGTTTGATGCACCTGTGGCCAAAGGTTTATCAGGATCACTGTGAGACAGGCAACCATCCTGAGAGCATCTGTAATAGGAGCCCAATAAACCCACCATCACCATAAAAATAGAAGCAATACCCACAGTTCTCAGGATTTGTACACTTGGCTACCCTAAAGTCTGCCCATTGACTCTAGAAATTCAGTCTAAGAAGTATTCAACAGAAGGAAAATAGTTCCAGGTGCCAGACAGGGTTAAGCACTTGGCATATACTGTCTCACCATCTTTGAGGTAGGCATTTTCATACTTTATAGATGAGAATACAGAATATAATCAATGGCAGAGGACTGTCACTCCAGATTGGTCAGAGCTCATACTCCTAGTATTACCAAGAATTAAACACACATCATCTGAGCACTAATTTAATAAACTATGGTAGAACATGGAAAACTCTTTGCAGCTTTAAAAAATTATGAAAACTGTACTAACTTGGAAAACTGTTCTTGGTACTAAAAGGTTCTATGTTGGTAGGATTATGGGGATTAAGTTTTTAATTATAAATCCATCTTTTCAATTAAAAAAGTATAACACATGCTACAAAGCCCAACTTCTAAACATAATGCAAAACCTAATATTCTGTTCAAATGTGAAACCTTAGAATTGCCAGTACAAAGGATCGGGGTGGGGGAAACCAGGTCAGACTGGGCCTCATATACCACAACAGCATTTCTTTCCAGATGTCCAGCCCAGCAGTTTTTTTTTTTGCCAGAACACTTAGACTGCAAGATGTTGGGGCGGGGGAGAGAAGGGACTATAAAAGTCTGCATATTTTATGCTTTTAAGCAAACTCATTCAAGTATTGGAACACCTACTACTTGCTCTCAGTACTTGGGGGAGGGGTGCATGAGTGAACAAAAACCTTTGTTCTCGGTGCCTACATTATGGTGGGCTGGGAGGAGAAACAGTATTTTACATGCAGTGGGCAGGTGGGAATGAGCCAAGATGGAGTCAGAAAGGTTTTTCTGAAGACTAGAGATATAACTGCCCGTTTATGTAGTCATGAAAATACCTATCAGCGTACTAAAGACTTTTCCTAGGTAGTCATGGAACCTGTTCATCTAGTCTCAAACTTTTTTTAACCACCAATGGAACCCTTTTTCCCCCCCTTTGCATAATTAGGAACACTCAAGACACACTTTGGAGATGGTGGTCTGGTTCCCCTCTCACAACCAAAACGTGGATCTTGATCAAAAACCCTCAGTTGCCTTTTGCTTTGTCACCCTACAGAAGGTTCCTTGCTGCTGAGCTGGTTAGCGTGAGGTAAGAGAGATGAAGTTGATACTACTGTGAATGGGTAACTTAGTTTTGAATGGGTTAATACAGAGTTAATCCCATTTCAATTCAACAATCTTAAAAGGTTAGTATTAGTCCAGGGACTGTTTTGAGAATGAAGTTAAAATTGGGTTGAAACTGCAAATATAACTGTCCCACAGGTAAAACTGTAAAATCTTATCTTCTCTAAGGGGTCCCACTAAAGTAAATAAATGAATTAAACACATATATACACACACAAAAGCAATGGAGCGCTAATTACACAAGAGGCACTCATCCTTGCTTTATTCACGCAGTAACATCCGACATTGGGAACTATGTGGGCATAGATACAAAATAAGGAAGATGGCATCATAAACAGTTGAGTTCATCAGGGCAGTGGTGGCAGCTCAGCCAGTGTGTGGTTTCCCTGGGACCTACTGAGTCGAGGAAATACTCTCCTCCCTCCACCACTTCATGGCCAAGATGTTTTACAACACTTGGCCTGTACTTTAAAGGTCACAGTGATTAAAAACATGGGTAAGACATTCAGGGCTGAGTGACTGCTCCTGGGGCCACTTAGGAGTCTGGCAACAAGAGCGTGAGGAACAGCGATATGCCCTTATCCTCTGAAGTGTGTGCAAGACAGATCACAGACACGTGAAGGGATCTTTCTCCCTGTGCTGAATGGAAAAATAACCGTTCGGCCAAATGCTTATAAGGCAGAACTGGAGGCACCAAAAACACCACACAGGCAGCATCACCTCTTGGTTTCTCATGGTCACACCGAAAAGCTACTGTTAATATACAAAATAGAAAAACATTTGTAGTGGGCCTTTTTCAAACCCAGAACACAAGTTAGGGAGGAAAAAGAAAAGCTTTCCCTAGGGTCATAGGTCAGACTCAAGTTCTCTGTACAGTACATGCCACGCTGCTTCCTCACCAATAGATTCCCAACTAGGGTTTTTTCTCCATGTGCCAGTTATCATACTTAAAGGCTAGGTTTCTAAGATCTTCTTAGTGGTCAATAAGAAAGGGAATTCTGAGGGGGAGGGTACCTTGCACCTTGTATTCCTTCATATGGTAACAGCAGGAGGATTTGACAGGCGGTAGCAATAATCCTCACATAATGAAAAGAATTCAAATCTATGAAATCGTCCCCTGACACTGAAAACAGGCTGTCCTCCCAGATCTCATGCTCCAGCCACCCTCTCTCTCGTGTGAAGCTTTATCTCCAGAGAAGTTGAGAAGAAAAATGGCTGCCCAGCTGAAGCACCTACCAATCTCCAGTTTCACAGGATGAGACTATAGAGCCCTCACCGGAGCCCAGGCATAAACTGTTTTTGCTATATTCATTTTAAGCACAGTTTTTATAGAAAACTGAAGGACAAACCAAGTTGAAAGAATCACTGTTATAATAACTTTAATTTATCTTGCATTTTACATAAGTCTATGAACGATTTTAAAAAAGCACCGCCTTACCCCATCATGTTTTTCTGACAGTTGTTAAAGTAGGCAATGAGTAGGTCAACAGCTTGAGCATCGGCATCTTGCAAAGATTTCAGACCAACCAGCCACAAGCCAAAAAACTTGGCAGCTTTTCTATCTTGTATTTAATACAATGATATATCCACTTTGATGGTAAACCTGTCCAGCCAAATCTCCACAACACACTTTGAAAATCAGTGGTGGTTAGCCAATTAGTTAGCTTTGGCACGGAGCTGTGCTCGCTTGCCTGTGACAGCCTGAAAGCCGGTCTTGATGCTGGCAACAGAGCATCGAGAATGACAAGTTTCGCACTGTAAGAAATAGAGTCGGGTGTCCTTTTGCAGGATTGTGTCCGGTGATCGGCATGTGTGACAGGTAACGTATTCCTCTGCAGAAAAAGCAACATACAGAATTACCTGTTGACTGCAGTGATTGACTGCAGTGAGCCAGAAGTTTCTTCTCTCAAACATATTCTACACAGAACAACGTAAGCCCAAATGGTACCCAGACCAAGGAAAACTTTAGCTTAACTTAGATATTCTAGGGGTAAAGACACAAGGTGTTTGCTGTGATACTTCAGGTACTAAATCATGGGCTGAAAGACTCCAAATGTCCAAGGAGGTAGGGGTGCTTGCCAGATGCCACTCCTGGATCTGTCTACAGGAGAGCCACTCAGAACTTACTAGGTTACCTAGGTGGGAACAGACCTGCCAACTTTAAGTCATTAGGAAGATGATAAAGACAGGCCAGGCCTGAATGCAAACAGATTTCTCTGACTCGGCCTTCAGCCTACAACCAACCAGCACCTTGGTCTGCTGCGCCTTAAGAAATCCAAACCCTGCTCCCTGCTACACAGCTGCCAAGAAATCACCTTGCTGTCCCACCTTCCCATCATTATCATTCTCCCTCATCCCCAAAATACTGCAGCCTGATGAGAACATTTCAGAGCGAGATGATGGAATTATGCACTTACTGATATATCTTCTCAAAACATTTTCTATCTGTTTCTGTTGGAATCTTCCTTTGATTACAAGTTGATTATTACCATCTATAGAACCACTATGAGAGAAAGCAAAAATATTTCCATTATTGTTTCCTGTAAGGAACCAAAGGACCTTTATACACTTGATGAATTTAAAATATATTCAGTGGCATAAGTTCTAGAGCAGTCCGATACCACCTGGTTTCTCAAAATTTATTTTTAAGTAGTTGGTGCCTGATGACCTACCCATATTTCCTAACATTAAATCCAATTTCAACCAACCAAGTCTCTAGTAACCTTTAAGTCTAAAACAAATTGATTCTGTCTGTGACGGCTTATTCATCCAACAAAGAAAAACTTTTACTGAATGTATACCATGTACTAGACAGTGAGGGGGTCTATAAATATAAAAATAGGGAGTTGTATCTCTAAAAATTTTAAGCACTAAATGTTTTGATTCAGTCACATAGTTGATAAAAATATCCTAAGATGGGTGGTGGTAAAGGTTCAACTATGTCAACATATTAAAAACCATTTGTACATTGAATGTGTGAACTGTATAAAGTTACCAATAAAGAAGTACAGTTGAACTCAGGCCACATATTGTCAATGGTGCTTAAAGAGAAACTTTCTGAAAAGGTGCTGACAAGCACTTTTGGTAAAGCTCTGGGCTAGACATTTGTTAAAAATTACAAATCACAAAGTGAAACAAAATTCAGCCAGGTAGCATTAAATTTACATTTGTTTTATATCTCATTATAAAACTGCCTTTTGTAAGAACCTCTCCTGTGATTCTCCTTTAACTATAAGGTTTATTATCCTCCACAGATTGTAACCCTTAATCTCAGGCTACGGTGATCCCAATGCTCGATGTAGGATTTTTTTTCCATTCACTGTCAAAAGAAATGGAATTTTCTCAACAACGCCATAATATTTAGCCCATTGACCATAAGTTCACTGGTCACAACTTGTTTTAATACCCCACCTCTACAAAAACTAAAATTATTCTGAGTAAGAAAACCACTGATAGCTTTTACTGCATTAGTTTATGTAAGTTACAAATAAAGTAACAAATTTACATTTAAAACACAATTCTACAACAGAGCCTACGTATCCACCACTAAAGCCACTCCTTAACCCCAGAGCAAGTGTAGCCAATTGCATCAAACGGTTTTAAGAAGAGTTTTGAGTAGGAAGAGAGAACACCTTAGTTATCTCTGTAAGCCTTTTAAGAGTTCAAGCTCCAGAGACAGAGCTGAGTTTGCCACCTTGGCTATGATATTAACTAGCTATGTGACCAACTACAACTTCAATGAAACGGTTTCCAAACCTGTAAGACGGTATTAATTTCTGTTTACAGTTCATAAGACTGTTACAAAGACTGAGACAGTACTCAAAAAAGTGCTTGGCACAGTGCCTCTCACACAGCAGGTACTCAGCATGTGTGAGTTGCTATTATCATACTGCTCTTAAGTCTACATCACTTATCTTTAGTATTTATGGTCACACTCATTGGGATGGCCTCCCAGGGATTCTGGTCTCCCTGAATGGGGAGGGACTGGCTTGGTGCCTTCAACAGGTGAGCCCTGAAGACAGGGAAATAACTAACTAAGGCTCTGTTTCAGTGTTTCTCCTGTGCCACTCATCAACTTCTAAAGCTCTATTTCTTCATATTAACAATTTAGAAAATAAATTCTGATTTAAGAAAATCATTTCCTCCAAAAATATTTGCTCCATAAAAAGACCCAAGAATTCCAGTTAATGACAGGAATACCAGCAGGCCTGTACAGATGAGCCACTGAAAACTCTGTTCTCTATTCCTCAGCAGCCAAGCTCTCAGAAATCATTTCCCTCACTGGCCTAAAATTTCCTCTGATTATCAGGTGAATGTTCTAAGGGTGTTATGTATCCTTTTCAAGTCAGGAGAAGTTCCTCTGAAACATCCAGTACTACTATATATATAACTGTATATAAATGTGAATATAGTTTCTTACCTTGTACCCAATTCAGCCAATAAAAATGCAAGGAGATGTTTGGGCTGACGATGTAATCTAAAAAGAAAATGGAATATATAAACCTTATCTCATTGGAAATGGAACCAAATGTCTAAAACACCATCCTGTTCACTGTTTTAATCTGATTACCTAACTATTCAGTGAATTTTAGTGACCAGTTCATCAAACCCTGAAATAAAGATATATAGGATACCATTTATTTATATTTAAAAGCCCATATAACAACATGTTATTTATAAATACAGATATATGAAAAAATGGAAACATGGACAGGAAAGTAAACACCAACTTTAGAGGTTAACATCTTTTTCTGAGAAGGAAAATGAAGGGATCATAAAGAGGTGCAAAGATGTCTGTAATTTTAACTCTACAGCCCTCTTTAAAGAAAAAGATCTGAAGCAAATGTGTCAAAATATACCAACCCCAGGCAATGGACACTTCGGTGTTTGTTATGGTAATCTCTATATATTTCCTATTTGAAATTTTTCATTAAAAGAAAGCGGGGGGGGGGGACTATATTGGGAAATATTTCATGGTAGCACAACAGTAGAAAAATTGGTAACAGTTTAAATATTCACCAACTGGGGAGCAGTTAAATAAGTTAATGATACATCCATTCTATTTGTGTAACAACAACAAAAGTACACATAGGAAAAAGTACAGAGCAATGCCAGTCAATATTTTAACTTTTAATTCTATTCACTTGGCATTGTTTGAACTTGTTCCAAACCAGGTACTACTATTACAATTTTAAAGTTATTTTTTTCCCCAAGTGTAGTGAGGGTTGGTGAAAATACAACAAAACAGGTAAGCTCCTACATTGCTAGTGGGAGTATAAATTGGTACAAGCTTATTAGAAAGCAATTTGTCAATGTTTGCCATAAAAAATATCCATTCTTTTTAACTCAGCAATTCCATTTTGGGAACTTTTGCCCTAAGGCTATATTCTGAGTTATTGTCAAGATACATGTATGAGAATGTTTCCTGAAGCTTTGCTGATCATGGAAACACGGAAGCAACTGTATCCACCTAAGAGCTGTTAGAGTATGTTGTGTAGCTACTAAAAACATTTATGAAGACAGTTTAATGACATGGGTAAATGTTTTGTGATATACTAAGAGAAAAAAAGATTAAAAACCAGTACGACACCAATTTATTTAAAAATAACTACATGCACAAAACTAGCTAAACATAAAAGTATTAAACTATGATCTCTTAATGGTGAACTTACAGATGATTTTTCATTTTCTTGCATGTCTATGTTTTCTAGTTTTCTAAAATAAAAATATACTACTGTTGTCATCAGCAAAAAAAGTCTAAAATCTTTTAAGTAATGTGTATAATGAAAACCAGTGATTATCTCCGGGTAGTAGAATTTTTAGAGATTATTCTCTTTTCTGTCCATCATTGTTTTGCCTTTTATCTGCAATAAGCATGTATCATTTATGAAACTGAATAACAAACAGTAAATGGATAAGATTGGTTGCCCTAAGAAGCCTCTCAGAAGAGATGCAGTTGAGCTGTGGGAAGTGACAGACCCAGTGACCTGGCGTTGAAATACACATGGAATGTGATGGTAATTAAGAAATCTAAAATCGCACTGATCGTGTCTTGGCAACGGCCATCCAAGAAAGAAGCACATCAAATTCAGCTGCTTTCCCAGAGCTCATTCTTGCACCTGTTTGTAAGGCCTACCCCAGCCTGATGAGCCTTTCCACCTCCCTGGGCTCCCCAGGTTCCTGTCTGAGGACTATATTCAGCCTCCTCCCTTTTCATTCTATAGTTAGGATCCACTCTCATGGGTCTCTCACCTCTGGATGCCTAATAAAACAAGCTCTGAGACCTACGAATTGAAATATCTATGGATAGGACAGACTTGAACGGTGACCTCCCTCAAACCAACCCCGACATTCTTTCTACCTGCAACAAAGTGCACAATAAAGACATTTAACATATACTCCTCTGAGAATCTGGTATTTGGGGTGGAGACTCTCCATTAACCAACTTACAGTTTACAGATATCTGTAAAGTTGACAAAAGAGGTTTTCTTTGTTCCTACTCGGACAACCTGTGGAGGTTTCATGACAAATTTCCTTTTCTCTCCAGCAACCATATCTGGATTCTTTTCTCTCATGATGTTGAATACTCGATTCAATAGCTATAGAGAAACAATTGGTATTCATGTACATGCTTATTAATAGGAATATAAAGTTCCCACTTGAGTCACTGTTTTACTTCAAAACAAACATCACTTTTTACTAAACACACACACGTATCACTACCTGAGAGCAAGACTCATCCCTTATGGATGCTAAGCAACAACCTGTTCACAGTTAAATGAACGAATGAGACCCTACCAATTCTGCGGCTTCTATGGGAGAGAGTATGATCTATAGAAAAGATTCAGGAAAGCTGCAACAAGTGAATTCCAGACTTACTCTGGCCCCAAAATTAGTCACCCCTTCCTTTACTCTTCCCCCAAGTCCCAGGGGCTCCATGTCCTCAGAAGTTCATGGATTCAGTTGGAACAGTGAATACCATAATGACTGCCAAACTCTGGGTAGCTGTCCCATATGAGGGCATCAGGCAACACTGTGCACTGATTGTGTGACCTCTCTAGGTCTGTTTCACTGTCTGTTCTTCAACGGCCCTTCCAATTCAGTATAAATATCTTGCTCTTCGTAACATCTTAGCCCTTTTTCTTAACAGAATTTGTCTTACCTCCTCATATGTGTAGTCTCTTTCTGAGCCTGCCCAAGCAGGGCCTGTCTGGTTACTGAAGGAGATACCATCATCTTTTTTGCTGTCTTCATCTTCTAAAGCTATAGATAACAAAGACTGTAAGAATGAGGGGTAGGCAGTAACAAAGTGAGGGGGGACAGATCTAGAGAAATGAAAGCTTCAAAGACATTTGTCTTCCCTCCCACAGAAAGCATAAAAGCATCAAGGATTAGAAACAACCTGTCATTTCTTAAAGACAGGGATGTTACAACTTTCATTAACAGACCACTCCAATTAGAATTTGTGATAACAGACATACCAAATTATTTCCTGATATAACAAACACAAGAGAAAATAATGCACTAGGATAACGAGAGGAAAAAAGTCCAGCTGTTCTGAAGCACTTAAGAAACATCCACATCCATAAAAACCCATCCGCTGACTATACTCAAGTTCTCTAAAGACTTTAGTACTTAGAATTAATAAAACAGCACTTTTAACAAAAAATAATAATTTTTAAACTATTTAAAATCCAGTTACAGTGATTTTCCCAATAGTCTTAATCAGCATGTCTTCATTGTAATCACAACTACCAAATTCTTCCCCCATGAAATCTTTAACAGTCATTATCAAGTTAGATACTCTTTCCTTTTAGCTTCCAGGCAGTGGAAGGAACAGGAAATAATAAAAAGGGACCAAGACACTATGGTTAAAGTCTTGAGTAGAACAGAAATGAGCTGCTGAGCCCCAATATTACCTTCATCTTTCTCTAGTATTTCATCCTCATCTGGGAACTTAACATTCTTCTTTTTCTTCTTTTTATTGCCAAGCATAATGTCAAGGTCATCCTCTGGTTCAGCTGCTTCTTGGATATCACTTTCAATCTTAAGATCCTGAGAAATTAAGTAAGAGTCTCAACATTTTGATACTAGGACTATTTTTTTAAATGATACGGGCTGGCATCATTTTGGAGGAAAAAATAAAATATTCACAACTGAAGTGATAGATAAGAAATGTCTTGGGGCGCCTGGGTGGCTCAATTGGTTAAGCGTCCAACTTCAGCTCAGGTCATGATCTCACAGTCCGTGAGTTCGAGCCCCGCATTGGGCTCTGTGCTGACAGCTCAGAGCCTGCAGCCTGCTTCAGATTCTGTGTCTCCCTCTCTCTCTGCCTCTCCCCTGCTCACGCTCTGTCTCTGTCTCAAACATAAATAAAAACATTAAAAATAATAATAATAAAAAGAAATGTCCCTCACAGGTGGGCCAAACTGGCTCAGAGAGTCTTTGTCATTTAAACTAGAAATTGTCTAAGACACTTTTTTAAAAGTTGGCTCCACGCCCAACGTGGGCCTTGAATTCACAACCCCGAGTTGAAGAGTCACATGTTTTTCTGACTGAGCCAGCCAGGCACCCCTCTTTAAGACACTTCAGAGGCCAATGCAAGGATAGGGTCCCCATGTTTTACCCACATAGTCTGACAAGACTACAAATTTACAACACCCCTCCACCCCATTTAATAATTTGCTATGATGACTCACAGAATCCAGAAAAGCACTTCACATAACCATTACCAGTTTATTATAAAGGATATAATTCAGTAACAGCCAAATAGAAAAGTGCACAGAGCAAGAAAAGCAGGGAGGGAGACAGGTGCAGAACCTTCCCTGGTTATATCATTCTCCCAACAGGCCATGTGTCCATTAACCCTGATGCTCTCCAACCCCCACTGTTGAAGGGTTTTTATGGAAGTTTTATTATGTAGGCAGGATTAATTAAATCATTGTCCACTGGTGACTGACTCATCTCCAGCCCCTTTTCCTGGAGGAGTAGGTGTGTGTGTGAAATTTCCAATTCTCTAATCATCTCAAAAGACACTTTTGTCACTGCAGAGATGACAAGGGTTTTAGGAGCTGTGTGCCAAGAACTGGGAACAAAGACCAAATATTTATTTTTATTATACCACAGTCAGCCTGGCACCAAACTGTAAAGAGGTCTTTGGGCATCATTTCAATAGATGACATCATGAAAGAGGGAAAAGGCAGAACCCAGAGAATTAGGGTCACCTGATAAATGGAAGGAGACAAGGTAAAACTTATCTGAAGATTGGCTGCTATAGTTATGGAGGTAAATACGGCACTAGAAATGAGACATATACACCCCAGAAAGGGCCAGTCTCAGTCTCCAGCCTTCTAATCTCCTCTGTCCTTTCACCAGCTTGTCCTGCTTCCTACCCTGAAGTATGCTGTCAATATCACCTAGCATCATCTATTTTTGTGTGCCTGCATCCTGAATTACTGACATTAGCTACTATAGTTTCATAAATCTTCACAGAAAAGCTGCAAGAACTGGAAATAAATGAAGCTCAGCCTTGAGATTCCAAATCCAGCTGTGTAGTTTGCTGGTTTTTTTCCCCCAGCTGTGTAGTTTCAATGCCACATTTGGCCATCAAAGACCAAATCAGCCCATGTGTATTAGCTGGATAACACATAAACAAGAAAGCAGATATTAACTTAGTCTCTGAGATGACAGTCAGTAAATGAGAAACTTGGATATGCTGACATAAGTTAGCACACAACAGCCAATTTCTAGTCTTATACTATTATTTATTTCATCCCAGTAAGATCTACTTCCAAACTGAGGCTAAGACTCAGTGAAACACAGAAAATGGCAGTGTTTTTCAGTATTTTTCTAAAGTCATGTGATGGTCTAAAAATTCAGAAGAGTAACCCAATATCTTAAAAACACTTTAGTGTTTGACGGCCTGATAAGGATACTTTTAAACAAGCTCTTATGTTTAGGACTTGTCAATAGCAGAGAAAATTGTATTCAAGCACTTAGTAAGAATAGAGCTCATAAGCAATTCTTCAGGACAAAAGCTACTAGAGGAAATGCCTCCAAAAAAATCTTGTTAACCAAGACCTTCTGTAGCACATCTCTGATATGTCACCTTGATACCCAGGATATTTAAACCTCATTTATTCAGTATAATCTGAACATTTCTTTCTCAATTTCCTTACAATAGTAGGAAGAGAAGAGAATCCTCAGACAGGGAGAGAATAGATGAATCCAGGTAAAATCATCTTGTTCTAAAGGACTCTAAATTATCCCTGAACTAAAATAATCTCTGAAAATAGGAAAAATCTCTTGTTCATTTCAGTACTCTAGCAATTAGCCTGACTCCCTGTAATTACCAATGCATATTTGCTGAATTAACCAAGTTATCAATATTATGGCACTATTTCTAAAACTGAATGAATTACTGTATACATTTCTTTGTTACATGTGGGATACACCTTATTTACTTCAGTTCAAGCAAACCAAAGAAAAATTGGGGTAGAAGGCATAAAATAGGACACTTAGTACATGTGCATGTGTTCTCATGCTTGCTCCTTCTCACTTGTATATACATAAAATTGCTACTATCCTGGAATTTTTTTAAATAGATGTGTGGACTCTGCTCAAGATTCCTGGACAGTTTAAAATAGTAGCTCCAGGGGTGCCTCTTAATTTTGGTTCAGGTCATGATCTCAGAGTTGTGAAACTGAGCCCCACATTGGGCTCCATGTTGGGCATGGAGCCTGTTTAAGATTCTCTCTCTCTTTGCCCTCTCTCTCTCTCTCTCGAAGGAAGGAAGGAAGGAAGGAAGGAAGGAAAGAAGGAAAGAAGGAATAAAATAGTAGCTCTAAGTGAAGGAATAACAGACTTTCATCTCCTTCCTGATCCACCCTCTTATTTACCCCCCTACTCATACATTTACCTATCCTTGTTCAAAAGAGTTTTGAAGTATTTACATTGGAAACTGATCCAGTAACAAGACAATTATAGGGCCTCATGTCCCTACAAGATCAGAGAACCCCATAAAACCAGGCTCAGTGCTCCTGTTCTCCTATAGGCCATATGATCATCAGCCACCATCACAAGCTGGGGTTCATTTTTTGCTGCTGAGAGGCACACACATAAGTTTGTGTATCTTCAACATGCTACCAAAAGTTTAACAGAAGAAACCATAGGAATATATACTCCATAGGATTTCTCTTACAGAAATATCTCTTCCTTAGCCAATTTCAGTGTGGTTAATGACAAGGGGCTTGTAACCATCTTAATGGCACACAATACAATGTGTAAAACCTAAATTTATATTCCTTTAAACCATAATCCCTTTAAGACACCTAGTCAGACCAAATCCCAAGAAAATGACCTCAACAGTGATTCAAGTACTTAATAACAAAAGCAAAGCTGGTAAGAGACAAGACAAAGGGAGGGAAACATCAGTCATTAGCAACCTTTCGAGAGGTCAAATTTTACCTTCAATAAGAAAGCAATACTACCTTTACACCTTCTTCAGCTTCATCAATATCAAATATCTTTTTTGTTTTTTTCTTCTTTTTCTTCTGATTAAAGAAGTTCAAGTCATCTAAATCATCAGAAGCATCTAAAAAGACAGACAATTGAGATTAAAAATTAATAACTAGCAGAAGGCATAGCATCAGAGTTAAACCAACATTTTAGCTATTCATTAGTCATCAGAATAGAGATCGAGTATTAATTAGTACAGTGGTCTCTCTACAACCACAAAGATTATGATTCTGAAAAACACAATGGCAGGTCAAAGCTCTGTAGGAAAAACCCGGTTAGGGGACCATGTTGGGAACATTTATTTAGTAATCTAACCATATTGTGCCTCATTGTTCCCAAGGCAAAGTCAGGGTTCTAACACAATTTTCAAAGCTCTCTAGTTTTCTCTCTCCATTTCTGTCTACCCTCTCATCTCCCTTACTTTAATCCTTGGTTCCAGCCCAACTAATTATTTCCACTTCTTAGTAAACTTTATCCATTATTAGTGAGTAAATAATGGGTTTATTCAATCAGTTTTCCATTTGCCCTGCCCTCTTGTACACTAGGAATATTTTAGGATCCCTCTACTACAAAGTTTTTCATGGAGCTATTTATGAATTTGTTTTGTCTTATTATGAGAATGATTTACTTTTCAAGTTTGTTTTAAACATGTACAAGATGCTTACTTAGCACATAGTAGATGCTCAATAAATGTCAGTTGTCCCCATCACTAGCAGTGTCTTATGTTCAGCAGATGTAAATTTTATTTACAGAATCATTTATTTCTAGTAGTCACATGGTGTCTATGTCAGTGTGCAGCAAGAGGGAATAACTAGTGCTGGTATCTAAATCCAAACATTTTAGGTTGTAATTTTAATCTCTTCTATACATTTTCAGACTTGCTAAGACACAAAACTATCAGGCCCTAAATCTTTTTGCCTACACTCAAATACAACCACAATTAAAATTGGAGAAGAGACTTGACAGGTTAGACTGGAAAAACCAGGCCTGGAATGATGAGGTTTTGTCATTTCTACAAGTTGTGGATTCAGTAGCAATTTCTCTGGAACAAGTTTATCAGAAATCTGGCAAGATCCAGTGTACATGGCCTGTTGATAGCCTCAACTTCACTGGAACAACCTTATCAGGCTGAGAGGTCACTGTATGTAAAAAAAAAAAAAAAAAAAAAAAAAAAAAAGAAACACTGATGGAAGAGAACCAGGTCTCAGAAGACAACAGTGACTCTTTCATATCTACCACTTACCTTTTTTCCTACTGTCCTCTTCATCGGCTTCTACATCTCTGTCCTCAGTGGGCTCTGGTTCTACTTCTTTTGTTTCTGAGGGCTGGGTTTCTTCTGTCTGGGCATCCCCTTCCTCATCTAACATAAAAGGCTTCTTCTTCTTCTTTTTCTTCTTGCTCATAGTAGGATCAAAAATCATCTGTTTAAAAGACAATAAAGAAAAAGGAACTAAATGATTATTTTTTTAATGATACATTCCAAACATGTTGTATTTTCTTTTTTTTTAACTTTTAAAAATGTTTATTTATTTTTAAGAGAGACAGAGAGAGAGAGAGGGAGGGAGGGAGGGAGGCTGAGAGAGAGAGAGAGAGAGAGAGAGAGAGAGAGAGAGAGAGACTGAGAGCGGGGGAGGGGCAGAGAGAGGGAGAGACAGAATCTGCAGAATCTGAAGCAGGCTCCAGGCTCTGAGCTGTCAGCACAGAGCCCGACATGGGGCTCGAACTCACGAGCTGTGAGATCATGACCTGAGCCAAAGTCGGACATTTAACTGACTGAGCCACCCAGGAGCCCCGGAACATGCTGTATTCTTAAAGGGTATATGCTTAGAAGTAAAACAGTATATGGTGCATTTAAGTACCAAAAAGGATTTTACACACACAAAGTCCATCCAACCTTCCTTGTATTATTAAATAGGGGTGGAGGTGGGATTCTGAAACATGTGCACCTGCCTTTAAATACGTAAACTGTCACAAGATACAGTAACTTCACTTTTAAAATTCATGAGCAAATTTGGAGACTATAAATGCATCATGGAACTTAGGGAAGGGACCGTAGAAATAACCTATTCTATGCCCCCCATTTTTTGGAGAAGAAAACCAATGCCTAGGCAGGTTATATATGTTTTATTTAAGGCTGTAACCTGGGGTTGCTATACCAGACTTGACCTGATTTAAAAAAAAACTGTTTTCCCCTCCAAGTTCAGATAAACCTTTATAAAAATCCATCAGCAGCCTTTCCTATAGCTAATCTCTATCTGAGTAAGAAAAACTTCCATACAACCTTTTACTTTGCTTTTTGTTTCTAGAACATTCAAAGTTTTCTTAGGTCATTTTAAATCTAATGTCTACTAGAGAATAAGTGAAAAACTAATTTATAACTTGTTTTAGATGATTTGTGTACACTGATCACTTGGGAAAAAATACAGATCATTATTTTAGACACAACAGTTTAAGAACATATAGGGGAGATGCCTGGTAGAGTGGAAAGAGGTCTTTGAAGCCAAATAGAATTGGATTCAAATCCCAAATAATTTTTCTCTAAGTCCCTTACCAATCTTTGTCCAAATTCTACCATGCTTAAATTTAGCATTTTGCCCAATGAGCTTCTGGAACAGTTTAGTGAAGTATTTAAAAGCACAGGTTTGGGGGGTGCCTGAGTGGCTCAGTCAGTTGCACGTCTGACTCTTGATTTCGGACTCAGGTCCTGATCTCACTGTTCATGGGTTAGAGCCCCGCTCCATGCTGACAGTGTGGAACCTGCTTTCTCTGTCCCTCCCCCACCTCTCTAAACAAACGCACAGGTCTGGAGTCCAACTGATTGAATTAAAATCCTGACTCTCACTGGTACTTGTGTTACTCCAGGTAAGTTCTTGACCTCTCCATGCTTCAGATGTAAAATGGAAATCAGTAGCAGAAGCAAAACCGAACCTCACAAATTTACATAAATATGTTCATATATATTTAAACACTTGGCACAGTGCCTGACACAAAAGTACTCAATAAATGTTAGCAATTATTAGAATTTATACAACGTTTCATGGTTCACAAAGCATGGTATCTCTTGATTCCTATCACTCAAATTTCATCAATTCAGGGTGATCAAATTTCTAAGACATCATAAAACTCAAAATCCCAAAAAACTGATTCTAATGTACCCAAGTACATTAGAGAAATTGAGCTACACTGAAATCAAACTAAGGTCTGTAATAAGGTAGGGTAGTTACTGTCTTCACCCAATAGAGAAGGATCTTCAAGACATTCTTGAAATTGATACAGCCTTCTTTCAAAGACTTCCTCTTTTACTTTCACAAAAGATTTAATTGTATAGCAAATGAATAATTCTGAAACGCAGTCAGTCTGAAGGACATTACTTATTAAACTTTGAAAAAAAAAAAGAAAGAAGACAGAACAGGGGGAAGTTCCCCACTGCTGATCCATCAGGCCTTGAGTCACCCTACATGGAGTGTTGCAATCTATTCCAGGGAGGTTATCTAGTTTATCCTCATTACTGAAATATGGAGGTTTGGCAAAAGGACAGCAATCTAGGCACTAAAAATTTGGATGTCTGGCAGGGCTTACAATTTACTGCATTTTTTTCAAGTATCAAGTTCTCTGGAATATTAATTAGCCTTTATTATCCAACAAAATAGACCAAAGATTTGAGGGATTCTCAAATCAGTGCAGCCTTACAGTTTTCTTATCCTATGAAAAACATTTGTACTTAAGTCTACAGGGAAACAGTTTGGTTGTAGCCTTGTAAAGAGTAATAAACATACAGGAAATTATACACTGAAATAATTACCATCTCTCTCAATTACTGTCTCTGGATATTTAAGACACATACTCATTGCCTCATTATACTCCCACCACCTAGCAAAGTCGATTTTAAAAATAAGGAAACTAGGGATCCCAAAGTAGTGCCCAGAGAAGGACTACCCCAAAATATAAGGCCAGGTCAGCCCTGAAGTGAAAAAGTCTTTGTTTTTTTGTTCTTTTTTAAGATTTTCATGTCTGACTTACAAATTATTACATTCAAAATGTTTTATGAGACTAGTTTGGCTTCGAGCAGCAAATAGTTGCTGACAGTGCACTTATGGAAAACCACAGAATCTCTTGAGTTTTTTGTTTTTTTTTTTAAGCCCACAACAAAGCTTTCAAAAAGTTTCCTACTTGCAACTTCCTGGGTTGGGCTGGAGGTAAGGAAAAGGAATACCAGCAAAAATTTACGCTGAGAATAGCCTAAAATGCTTCATGAAAGTGGTAACCTACTCTCATCCAACAGAATTTACCCAAGATGCTAACTTTATGACCACATCACACCCAGGAGACAAATGTTAGTTACAAAAGAACCTAGAGAAGCAAGGTGAGAATAAAAGCTAAGCACTGTCATGTCTGGGTGACAGGATCCTGGAAAATTTTCACTTTTTGTATTCTTCTGTTTTGTAAACTTTGTACAACACACATCCATTTTTAATCAGAAACTTTTTTTTTTTTTAGTTTAAAGCTTCTTTTGTAAAAACATCCTACCATGTTGTGTGAAAACCCAATGGTTCTGATACTTCATGAATGGGGCCTACTAATAAGCAGTAATCTTTGCTACTGACAGCACTTTTTTTAAAAAAAGGTGTGATAAACAATGAATGCCTGCAGATTAGGGAATTTTTCCTTACTAGGTAGCACCCCATAATTCTAGAACACTGCTTTACCAGGGTAAAGGTTATATATCAGTGAGTTTCTGGCCTAATTAACAGGCTTAGAAAGAAACGTGTGCAGTTTGTTTTATGTCAATTATACATCAATAAAGTGTTAAAGAAAAAGAAATGTGAAGAAAAGAGGAAAAAAAATTTTAATAGTAGGTTCTTTAACCCTCTATCCTAGCCCAGGAATTCTACTCTTGGGGAGTCCCTGGCAGTTATATATCATTTCCATGTACAAATTTTAACCTGATCCTCACAAGTCTGTAAAGTAGTCCAAAGTTAAGGTCTGGTCTAAGAGTATTCATCTAGTCGACAGTACTAGAGGAATCAGATCCTGCACATACCTCCAGAGTCGAAGCCAAAGGCTGAGAGGTTCTAGTCCCACTAACTTGCTGTGTGATCTTGGGCAAGTTAACCTCCCTACGCCCTTGTTTCCTGCCTATAAAATGTAGTTGGACTGGCAGACCTGTGAAGTTGCTAAGCTGCTTAATACTTTATTGGCTTCCAAAGCCTTCTGTAGGAATGCTGGTTCTGCCATTTCTGCTTGATAAAATCCTGTTCACCCTTCAATAATGTATTCACATTCCACCTCCTTCAAAACCCGATCCCACTGTTAAAGCTGAATCCTCCAGCTCCCCAACTCGCTATGTTGAAATGGCCCTATTTCTTCTACCTCCTGTAACAACTAGTAGATCTACCTCCCTGACAACACTTGTGAGTACTTTACCATAAAACCCATACACAGAATAGTACCCTACAGTACTACACAGGCACTGTTAAAGGTTATGAGAAGCTTAGAATATGGGTAGAAAAAAAGCATGACGCTGCTACTCTTAGAACTTTTGAAATAAAGTAGTCAGAGCATGACCTCCAAGCAAGAACCACCTACTTCATTTAGACTCTCAGTTTTCTCTCCTAACAGACCAAGAGCCTGTTAGTTATCTAGATGGAGGTAATATTGCATAGATCTGGAATTCTACTACTGGTTCCACCAGTTACTATTTAATCATGGACATCATACAACTCTCTAAGCCTCTGTTCTCTCATCTCTAAAATGGGCATAACAATGATACAATCTTACAAGGTTTTTGGGAAAATCAAATGTGAGATTGGAGTCCCCTCCAGAATAAAATCAAAATTCCTTATTTTGGTCTTCAAATCCTTCTGTGAATTAGCCACCACTATATTTCAAGGGGATCAACCTTAAACAAATTGCAGAATATTCCTTCTGTGATTACATGTACTTGCCTTTTCAACCACTCCTTTACCCTGTGATCGGGCCTTTCCACTACTTGTGGAAATTCTCAGCAACGTTCAGGGTCTACCTAAAACACCAACGCTCGAGGAAGCCTCGATTTTTTCCTCTAACTCCTCTCCAAGGCGCTAGAGGCCAAGCACCCCAATATTTATAAAGTGAATTATAAATTCAAGAGCACTGCTTTTGGCGGGGAGACCTGGCCGGTAAGCCGTAGCTTTCCCCCCCAGTGTTGATCAATACCTACTGACAGTACTTAAAATCAAATTTCATCATAAGCCGTTTGATTTTAAATGAACTGGAACCAACCTGGCTAAAAAGGATTTGAGAAAATTTGCTGAGGTACAAGCACGACGGGAGAAAACGATCCGGCCAGCTTTGCAGCCGGATTTTCCCGCTCACGTCTCAGAGCTCTCCGTTCAGGAAGGCTCAGGGACTCCCGCCCTAAAACTTTCCGAGGTCAGTCACTTACTGAGGCTGAAGGATCTTTTCCTCTCGTCCTATCTCCCTCACCCCTCGGTCTTTTTAAGAAATAATGCTCGTTATGAGCATGAGGGCGGACACCGGCCAGGACAAGAGAGCCTGCAAAGTTTTCAACGAGGGCGCTCCGTCGGAGCTGAGGAAGGTTCCTCTCAGCACGCCTGGCGCCCAGTGAGGAGAGTTGGTGCCCCAGTGTCAAACCGAAAGGAATGCAGGGGTCGCCAGCCTCAATCTCGTTCTTTCGGGGCATTACCCAGGCATTCAAGCCCCCTTCTGGGACGGCGACTCAACGAGCTCTCAATTCTGGAAACGCCGGCCAACGAAAGGACGCAGGCCTCGGCGCCGCCGCCCTGAGGAGAGCCGGACGCGGCCAGGCCCGCGGCTCCGAAGTCCTCACTGGCTCTACCGCTCCCGGCCGCCTAGGCCCGGCTGCTCCACATGGCGGCGGCCGGCTACTAGGCCGCAGGCCCGGTCTCCCACACTGGGGTGGGTTGGGCTCCCCGCCTCAGTCCTTAGCCCTAGAGCCAGGCTCAGGCCCTCACCTCATCCCCGGACATGGCGGCAGCTCGAGTGGGCTCGGCACAGACGGGAAGTCGGACGGGTCAGCCCCAGGCCCCAGCGGCAGCGTTGCTCCTGCCGACACTTCTCCCACCACCGCACTAGGCTCTTGCATCAGCGAAAGGGAACGACACCCCGCCCTCTCCTCCCAAGCGTTGGAAATACGCCTGCGCAGAACCTGCCAAAGCGCAGGCGCGCGGCGGGGCCAACCTGGAGCGCTCCGTCTGGCGCGAGTTACCAGGCGACGGCGTGGCGCCAGGCAAGCCGGGACTTGTAGTCCGCCTGGAAGAGGCGGGCACTTGAGGCACAGCAGTCCCGCGATCCGTGCGCTTTTGCTACGTCTGAGAACCTTGCCGGGAGATTGGTTCTTGCAGGTGGCTGCTCTTACCTTAGTCTTTCGCAGCGCAGACGTTTCTGCGATGTTCTGCACGGCTTGTCAAGTGAATTCGGGGCCATTTATCCTAGGTTAGGGTAGGAGGTGAGAGCTCAATAATATGAGCCCGTTAGGGTTTTAGTTTCCTTGCTACTACCTCCGCTATGCGCCCTCGAGGTGTTCTAACGTTTGAGGGACTCCTTGGTGCTAGAAGCGCGCACCTCACTGAGGAGCTTTCACTAGGGGCGCCTGGGTGGCTCACTCGGTAAAGCGTGGGACTTGGGTCCTTGGGCCTTGGGTCCGGTCACGAAGTCGTGGTTAGCGTGTTCCAGCCCCACATGGGGGCTCTGTGCTGACAGT